ATCTGCATTTTTACATGATTTACTTATGTACTAAAAAATCAATTTATTATAGTATCGATTGCGTGCGTTAAAAAGATAAACAACGTATAGTGAGAATATTGTCATTCTAATTTTTACATCTCCTTTTTTAATGTATTTCTTTTCTTTCGGTTTTTTTTGTTGATAAAGGGTGTGGACGCTTTATTTAGATTTGTTAATCGGCTGAAGGCTATTCAGAAAACGATGTTGCACTGAATTCATTTGGAAGTATACACACCTCTGTTAGTTTCCAATAATTTTCGTAATTAGTTAAAAAATCACATGCTGATGGAATATATACATTTTAATAATGTTAATTTTTTTAAAAACTAATAAATATTTGCATTTCTTCCATCTACCAATATATTTTTACTTTTAAATTTGATGATGTCTATTCGTAAATAACAGTTAATTAAATATATTTGTTTAGTTTTCGACAATAACAGTTCAACATTGTTTTTTGTCCTTTACCGTTCGTATCTGTAATCAAGCATTTTTCACCTTTTTGAATATTAGTCAGTTTGATTAATTTTCCACAGAATCACCCCCTAGGTTGTATGGTCTGGTAGTCGGTCATGTTTGTAATATAGCTGTGTGTCTTTTATGTGTTAGCCTTATCTCGTTACTTTAATTTTGTTTTTTTCACAACAGGTAGGTATCTGTATGGCGTATTCCGATTCTGTTGGGAACAGGGTCGAATACAACCGAACCTAACAGTAACCGTTCGGACATATTCGTAACTGCTTCGAATAGAAACTGAATATGCCGTATTTTTTTTTTTTTTTTTTTCATCTATAATGATAATTATTCGTTAAAGAATTTCTGCTGACGTAACATAAATTCGAGGCAATTATTTTATTATTTGTTGTCGCCTTTGTATATTAATTATTTGTGCCTTATTTATAGCAGCTACGATTAGCGCTCCTCCCACGACAAATTCCACGGCTGGAGGCGGTGGTTCGGGAGGCGAGTCGTCTAAAGCGAACACGATCATTACCACGGGGGCGGCCAGTAAAATTATCCACCCCTCAGAGGACATATCGCTTGAAGAGATTCGTGCGAGAAAGTCCAAGTACCAAAGGAGCATTCCGAGCAAAGAGAACGAAATGACCATGGCGTCAAGCAGTGCAGCTAGTGAGGTAATTCATTATTTCTTTTTTATTACTTATTACCATGCCTAAACTAACATGGCGTCCACAAAAAAAGGTAAAATGTCACTAGTGTTTTATTTTATGCATTTTAACGTTAAATGTATTATTGATTATTGTACCCAGTTTGTAAATGATCAATATGGCGGCCACAAATGAAGTTAAAATGTCGGTAGTATTTTGTTTTTTGTGTATTTTGGGGTTAACTGCCATTATGTTGGCAACTAGATTAATTAAATTCGTTTCTGTTGTTGACCGTCCTTTATTTTGATTCAGTTGGCCAATGCCGTTCACCAAGCCCAAGCGGCTGCGGCGGCTGTGAATCACGCGAAACAGCAGGAGGCGTTGAATCACGCCGCTATGATGCAGCGTTTCCAACGGCCACCCATGATGATACCGGGCACATCCGTCAGTATGCCCCTGGTGACCGCCTATCGACCTGCAATGATACCTGGGCCGCCGATTTACGTGGGCACTAATCTGATGCGACCGCCACCGATCAGCATGCCACCAGGTACGTAAACATATCAGTAATTATGGCTATCGACGATAATGTACGTACGCAATAAATTGTAGTATCGCGAATATCGGGCACAGCTGACTCGAATGCTATTATATAGAGTAAATTGACTATTTGTTTTTCAACAAACAAAATAAAAATAGGTTACCATGTAATGAAGTTGGCTGTTTAAGAACAATAACAGTGGAAGAAATAGTCAATTAGTTTTTTAGTTACTTTTGTTTTTGTAGCTCACTTAGGCATTCCTCAGAGCAATTTGAAAATTTAGAAGCGATAAAAATGGAAAATAGTAATAGTCCTTTTGCTGAAACCATTAAAAGTATGCACAATAGTATATTTGTTTAACTATTACTGAAGAAGTTTTGTTTAAACTTAATCATTGTGATGTTCGGAACAATATCTTAAATTTGCAAGTCTTGACTATTGGCAGTTGTAATTTTCTGGTGAACAAATATAAAAGGAGCAGTTCCACAGTATATGTTTAGCTGTTAAATTTTAGGAAAATGACTAGCGGTTTTTAATTTTTTATTTTATTTTTTTTTTTGTAGATTGTAGATAGTAAAATAGATGACTGCTGTTTTATTTTGTTCTATGAATTTGAGTGAAAAATATTCTTTTGCATTTTCGACCAATTGCAAGATGCGAACGACCTTGCTTTCTTTATCACTTTTATTTAATTGTCGTTTATCTGTAGATGATTAAATTAAAAAAAAAGTACTCGAATTTATTGTCAACCTACAAGTGGTGGTGACAGGAAAGTGTTTTACATATTTGATTTTTTAATGTTCCCCTTTTAGAGCTAAGCTACTGGAGGTGAGCCACCTCAGGTAGAATAGTATGAATAACGGACAGAGAAATATCTAATCCGTCTCGTTTGTACCCAAAAGGGGATGGGGTGCTGACATTAAACGGCAGCCTATCGCGTGCAGAGTGATTGTGAAACTCCAATTGCACTATCTTTGCTCTTTCTAGACTTTACAGGGATCTGCTGTTTCTACTAGGTACGTGCAGTAGTTTGGTTGCCTGTCACAAGATGGCAACAGTTAATGAGACATATGCTACGCGTCTGTCGCATCTTGCCGTTGTTTGTCAATACGTACTTTATTTTATTTTACGAGTTGCGTGTACGTACACAATGATAAAAAATTGTGAATGATGAAAGAAGCAGTGGTGTTTTATGGCTATAAAAGACGCATTAGTCGACGAGTGTATTTTAAAAACAATTTAAAAAGACTTTTATTTTTGAATTGATTACGAAGCGGCACCAAGATAACAAAAGCATCGAGTTAACGTTTGTTCTGTTGAAGAGAAGACGTTCTGGTGGGGCGTGTCGACTTCGTCCCAGGTACCAGTCACGCACTCTGTGTTCGCATGCTATGCATTAAATACTACATACTTGTATTATTTATTATTATTATTATTATTATTGTACATTATTAACGAT